CTTGCATAGAATATGCTCGTATCTTTTGCATAGAAAATGCACTCTTCCATACTTGCATAGAAAATGCACCTCATTTGCATAGAACATGCATTCACTCGCACTATCTTGTGCACTTACACTTTGTATCTCACTAGCACTGTCTTGTGCATCTTGTGGTTGTGTTTCACTCGCGCTCTCTTGTGCATCGTACTGTCTTGTGCAGTTTAATCACTCGCGCTGTTTAGCGTATCGCATTGTCTTGTGCATTTCAAATCTTGGCAAAAGTTAGAGTGTAAAAGGAGAGGTTAATACCCGAGTGTACCTTAACCCCGAACTACGTAAGGCTTGATTCCCATCTTTGGGATACGTAGGCAACTTCATTCTGAAGTCCAGCCGTAAAACACTTCAAATTCGATTGTGTCCATGCGATGGTTTTGGTCATCTTTGTCTTCTCTGTATCTAAGAGTCTGGTTGTGTTCGTCGCTCTGAGGACCGACTACAATGCGCTGCGGTGCTACCCAAACAAGGGGCAACTTTTCGTTGCCATTCAAAACGCCGCAGTGTCATTTCAAACAAGGGGCAACTTTTCGTTGCCATGCAGTGTCCTTCAGACAAGGGGCAATATTCCATTGCTATGGGTCTGAGGTTGTGCATCTCCAAAGTAGGTTTCGTGCTCGTTGAGCAGTGGTCGTTTGCAAAAATAGTTTTTGAGAATTTTTACTGAGGTTGACTAATCTTCTCAAAAAGTACTCCATTTTTCAAAACTAGACCATTTCTTGGACCCAAAAAAGGAAAACTCTCAGTGCTCATAGCCTAACTTGCATGATTTTAAATCAGAAAATCGAACAAGCGCGTTAATCTAACTCTCATGTTGGTCAAAACTGTTTTAGTAGAAAGCAAAAACAAAAAAAAGCAAAAAACAAAAAATGGTCAAAATGATGAACTAGGGGCACAGTTGAGTCAGGTGTTCTGTCTTTTCCCCTTTGTCAAAATACTTGCCAGAAAGGGCACTCTACTTGTCGGAAAGGGCACCGTATTCACCAGAAAAGGGCGCAACAAAGGGCAGAAAGCTCTCACATCCTCCAAGAAACGAGGTATCAAGCAAAGTGCAAAGCACGAACTAGAATGGGGCAAGATATTCCACTCCATCATCTGGACAGATCTTACCACGTCCAAACTCCCCAGCAAAGCATCATCAACTGATGATAGCTGCAGATTTGCTACACACCCAGTTGTAGCGCAACCTTTCCGTGGGAGGAATTCACTAGTTGTGAGCGGAAGAAAGAGAATCTAGCAGAATGCTAGGGACACGAGCCCACAATTTGCTGTTTATCCATCAACCACCCAGGGGAGGGATGAAAAATGAGAGATTGAAGAATAGAGAGATGTGCGATGAGAGGAAAAGTAAGAAGATGGCTTTTTCAGAAAAACAGAGCTTGAGGGTCGAGTGATGTGAGGACCACAAATGAGAAAGGGTGGGAAACACTACCTGGTGAAACAGGCTCCCTGTGCACGTCTGAGTGTCGTGTCTTTTTGTTTTATCTCGATTCTTGTTTTAAGTCGTTTCGAGTGATACTCGATTTATCTAGGTTGTGTGCCTTTTATTTCCTTGTTGAGTCGTTTTGCTGTGTTCAGTCGTAGGCTCAATACTTGGTTGAAAACTCATCTCTCAATTTCAAAAATAAAATCGTTTTGTGCTCCGAGTGCCGGGCCGTTCTCCACATTTGTATAAAACATAAGTTGTTCTTTCATAAAATCGCAGGATTCAACCCAGGTCATGTGAGAACAGTAAAACCAGGACATATCTGAAGCTATATATGGTTCCGACTGCAAAGTAAAAGCAAAAGAGGAAAATGTCGGGTATCTGAGTTTGTTTCAACTTCAGTAAGTTCCAGGACTACATTCTGTGTGTACCTCTTCAGGTCTTGCCAATGCTCCCAAGTATGAATGTACCTTTACCTCAAGCTCAAGATCAAGTCTGCTTCAAGCCAGAATAGGCAATCAGAAGTGCTTTCCTTGAGGACCGTTTCGTGCCAGGGACATCTTGGCCGTGTTTGCAATGAGTTCCTAAGAGACTAGCTGCGACGGTGGAAACTAGAATTCGAATGGCTGATGCCTAGAACATAAAGGTTCGGGATTTCCGAGACTAAAGTCTGGTTTAAATACCCAGAGGCGCGTCCTCGGCTTGAAATCTGTATGGAAGCCCCATAGGTTGAGATAGCGTGTATGCACCTCAATTCTGGATACTGAACCAACCTAGTCTGTCACCCCGTTGGAGAATAGGGAAAACTGCGACCATGGTCAGGGAGAAAAGTAGTACCTGCAGTTCAACCAAGAAACCTTGGAAAAATTCCAAAACCAATTTGACTAGAAAACTCAACACAAATTCTAGTTCAATCAAATCACATAGTTTACCCACCTGCAAACACCCGTATAAAGAATAACAAAAGCACAATCAGAGAGTAGATTTCCTCTAAATCAGGCACATGAACTATTATTAACAGGCTCATGTATTTGTTTACCGCTAGCAAGGCAGACAAATTCACACAAACAAGAACCATGTACAAGCTACGTAACAAAAAAATAATTTCAATTTAATTGCCAAAAAGAGATATTTCCATTTTCTTTTCCCCCTAGAGCATGTTAGTAATTGATAGTATGAACCAAATATGTGAACATCACAATCAGCATATGTATTTGACATAAGGGCAAAAAGCAGAAGCAAATAATCCCATCCCACATCATCATCTTCAAGTCAGATCTGACAACATAACAAATAAACAGAAATAGGTTTCAACCCTTTCACCCACTAAAATTCCTAGAAAACACAAAAGAATTGAACTTTCCCGGAAAAATGAAACGATAAAGGACACTGATTGGATATGTAATCCAAGCAAAACCCAATTCAAATATTAAAAAAGAGCTAATCTTAGAACGGAAAACTCTCAATTACCCAATAAAAAGAGCCTGCGAAAGAGTCTGACCTTTGGTAACTGGGATGCTCACAGAATTTGAGTGCTTGTTTCCTTGAATATTAGCATCATAAAATGACATAAGCTCACTAATCATCTTCTGCCCATCTTCTGGAACACCAAGTCCTGATAGATCGAAGGAAGGTTGGATTGAATTAACTGATGGAACAGCTGGCTTGGGCTGAGCAAAAGATCGAGGGAAGACAACCGGTTTGAATTCATTACTATGGAAGTTTGGATGCACAAACTCCGAAGAATTGCTTCTAAATGGGCAAGTCAATTGATGATTGTCTCTGGATGACCTGTCATGAAAACCACGGCAGAGTTCACTATGAGGACATTGAAGGAACTCACATGTATAGATCTTGTGATCAATAATGGTGTTCAAGTCATTGGTTGGCTTCCTCTTTCGGGTGAAATCCAAATTAGTGATGACTTCATCTTTGATCGGATGAGATAGTTGTTGAACCGGTAACCTATCTTTGATTCTCTCCATACCCATGTTCAACAAATTGAGATTGTTGGGTTTTTGCTCCTGAACATCAAAGTTAGGTTCATCTTCAGGCCCTTCAACATCATACTCACTGCAATCATTAATGGCAAAAGACCCACTACCACCACTGGACAATAAGGGGGGGCAACGATCTGGGTAAAGTTCTCGGGCCAAAGCTTCCTCCTGATTGATAATTGCAAGCCAAGTGGCACTCTCTTTAGCTGTCATCTTGTCTTGCAAGCACTTAGACTGCCTTACAAGCTTGCGAATCTTGGCAATATCGGGAGAAATATGCTTGATCACTGCAGTGAGAACACCAACCTTCCACGCCTTCTTCAAATCATGAGGCTTCTTGTAAGGTGGAGGACCTTGATCCTTCTGCAAACCCAATTGAGGCCACCATTCCTCATTCCCAGTGGGCCACCACGGTGGAGAAACACCTTTTTCCAACGGAAACCGCCTTTGTGGGGGATCGCAATGCTGCATGAGAGCTGAAAGAAGTGAACCAAGCGTGGTGTCCTGTAACTCCTGCAAAGTGTGTGGAGTAGGCCCTACTGCGCTTGAGCTCTCGTTCTTCCCCGGGATCAAATTATCCGCTTGGTATTTCGCTATTGCAGCAGGGCCATTACGATCAAATCTCACTTTGTCCTTCCACCACTCACGAAGATTGTCTGATGCCCCACTCACCGGCTTTCCCTTCTCTGGAATGATCCCATAAACAAAGCCCTGGGCTTTGCAAACTTCCATCATCTTCAGCATGTATTTCAAAATCCCATCTTGGGCCCTCGACATCTTCTTCCTCCTTGCTTGCTCCTGGGACTGCCTTTGCTTGGCAGCATCAACTCCTTCCTTACCCTTATTCATTTCTTTCAAACGTTTCAGTCTCATTTTGTCCCTCCACATCCTTCTCTCAAGCTCATCCACATCAATCTCTTCGTCACTGTAATCATCGTCCACAACAGCCTCTGGTTCAGCTTGAGGGGCGGCCGAATCTCCATCCCCAAGCGGAGCAGAAAAGAAATCAAGATCTCCTCCAAATCCCATTTCATCAAACATTATCATCATCCCGTGCAACAAGCCCTAAAATCGGCTCAACCTTGGAAAAATTCCAAAACCAATTTGACTAGAAAACTGTATGCACCTCAATTCTGGATACTGAACCAACCTAGTCTGTCACCCCGTTGGAGAATAGGGAAAGTTGTGAATGTAATCAGGAAGAAAGGAAACATCCAAAGTGTTCTACGTGAAGAACCCTTGTCAGTATTTCAGAGTCTTTGTACTGTGAGATGAAGGTAAGTGTTCGAAGAGCACAGGGGAAGATCCCCATCGGAGCAAAGCGGTTCACCGCCACTCACCTCATGAGGTGCTTTCTAAAGTGCTGTTTTGTCCATTTATTGCTTTCCTTAAGCATCATGCATTGTAATGCATTGTACCTATCAAGTTTCTTTCTAATTTCATGCACAATATTGTATGTATGGTTCATTCAAAGAAGTTCCGTTTTAAGATCATTTATTTAGTGTATCAATCACACTTCATTCATTTAGTATATCTATCATACTTTGTTCACTTAGTGCATCTATCACACTTTGTGCTCACCTTTTTGTGTATCAATCACACTCTCGCTTTGTGTATCTATCATACTTATTCACTTAGTGCATCTATCACACTCTGTGTTCACCTTTTTGTGTATCAATCACATGTTCGCTCTGTGTATCTATCACACATGCACACTGTATTCGCAGTGAGAATTCCATAATTTTCTTACATCCTTTCTGCACGAGGTGTAGTTTGGCTCGAGTTTACTTGCTTGCCTAGCATTCGCTTAAAATGTTGCATTTATTTCGCATAATTACTTCATTACAGCTCTCTTTGCATGATCATGAGTGATGTCCAGCTTCGCGTAGCGTATAAGTCCAATTATCAAACCGGCTTCGCGTAGCGTGTAAGTCCAATCTTCAAAATATTTCTGCATATCATTTTGCATCCTGCCCCTGAACTACGCTGGTTTGATTCTTTGCAAAGGGGTACGTAGGCAGCTTGCGGGCGCAACCATTTATTTGTCTGTACTTTGTTTGTTTGTCCAAAGTCTTCGGCCTTGTCAAAAATGGGTCGTTGTAGACACCCCATTTTTGACCGACCTTAAGACTCAGACGTCACCGATTGAGCGCTCGGTGATGTTGCATATTGTGCTCGTTCAGAGTTTCAGAGTCTCAGCTGCGAGCCTAGCCTCCGGACTCTTTCATGTTTTGCCTCAGTTTGCGAACCAGGCTCTATTTTCTCTGTTTTCTCTTCCCGAAGGGAGGGAGAGGTCTCGTAGATCATCTCTCAGTGGCCGTAGGCTACGTTTCATGGTCGTAGGCCATTTTGCCCGTTTGGAGTCCGGTTTCCGGTTTTTCGGAGCCGTTGGCCGTGTGCCTCGGTTCGGGACCGCTTAACCACCTCCGTTTGCTCTGATTTTTGGCATGCATCTTATTTGCTCCCTTTTGAGGGACACTGGGGTCTAAGAGACCAACTTCGTGGTCGAACACCACTTCCGGTGCCTAACAGTCAGTTTTCGGGGCCTCGGGCTGCGCGTTTCAGCCCCCGAACCTTCATTTTGCATAGGTTTGGGCTCATTTTTGGTGGAGACCTTATTTTCACTGCTAAGAAGGTCGTAGAAGGGAGAGAGGGCAGTAATTGTTTTGTCAACCAGTTTTATCCCTCCATCGCCCTCCGTCGTCCGTTTTTCTCACTTGAAAGCCAATGTTGACCACCCTAAGGCCACTTTTTCCAGCCCTAAACCACTTATTTGTGTTGTACTCACCTCGGAGGCCACCAATATCACATGGCCGGCCAGTAATTCTATGTGACCCTTTTGAACCCCTCCTAAAAGTGGCCTTTTCTCTCTCCTGGTTCATTTTCTCCAGTTTTTGACCACATAGTTGTGTTGTGCACACATGGGAGGCCACCAATCTGGGGTGGTCGGCCACTAATATTGCTTGAACCTTTTGCCCCTTGGCCGGCCAGCCATGGGGAGAGCTGGCCGGCCACCTAAACCCTAGGAAACCGGCTGGTCATGATCCTCTCTCTAGGTACTTTACAAATATGCCCTCGGTTTCCCTCCAGATTTTATATCCGGAGGGCTGCACTTTTGGGGGGAAACTTGAATTCCTTTCCCATCCATTTTTCCCCCCTTTTTCTCCACTCTTGTGCCTATATAACAGCACCTCCAGCTGCATTTCAGAGGTTTAGAAATTTTGGTTTGGAGCTCCTACATTGTATCTCTCTCTCTCTCTACTCCAACCCTCAAAACCTCCCAAACCCTACACCATTTCTACACCACCACCTAGCACCACACCACCACCATCCATTCCAGCCACTTGGAGTTGTTTTCCAGAGCTAAGGAGCCACCAAACTTGGTCCAAGAGTTGTCAAAGATTTGGTCTTCAAGCGTAAGTCTTCTATCCCTCTCTTTGGCCCTATTTTTGTTCAATATATTAGCTCCTCTTTCTTGCATATTTGGGCTCCGACCCTAACTGATAATAGCATTATTTTGAGCTCCTTTTCATGTTTGTTTAAGGGTCTCTCCCTGTTTGAGGCTTCCTTTTTGCACTTGCTTCTTTACCTCTCTTGTATGCCTCTTTCTTGCATAATTTTTTAGGCTCATTTTTAAACTGTTTTGAGCATGGTCATAAACTGTAAAGTGGCTTATTTTGAGCCCTTCTTCAACATTGTTGAAGGGATCTTCTCTGTTTGAGACTTCCTTTTGTCACTTGCCTCTTTATCCCTCTTTTGGCCTTATTTTTGCATGTTTTGTTAGCCCCTTGTGCTTGTATTTTTGGGCTCTGACCCGAACTGTAAATAGTCATATTTTGACACCCTCTTCATGTTTGCTGATGGGTCTTTTGCTGTTTGAGGCTCCCTTTTTACACTTTTTAAACCTTCTTTTAGGCCTATTTCTTGCATAGCATTTTAAGCTTACTTGTGCACTGTTTTGAGCTCGGCCATAAACTGTAAAATACCTTGTTTTGAGGCCCTCTTCAACTTTGTTCAAAGGCTCTTCATTGTTTGGAGCCAGCAGATGCTACTTGCTTCTTTATCTCTCTTTTGGGGCCATTTTTGCATATTAACTTAGCCCTATTTGTGTTCACTTTTTGGCCTTGCTTAAAACTGAAAATATGTATATTTTGGGACTATATTGATTCTGTCTTCACACTTCGTGTTCAAATAATGCATGCTTTGCATAGCCATAGGTCATTCCATGTACCTAATTTTGTGTTTTGGGGCCATTTCATGCATCGAGTACCATGTTTCCATGTTCTGGGGCCGTTTTGCATCATATTTTGTTACTGAAATTTACCTGTTTGCATACCATGTTTCATGCCTTGCCATGCCTTGTTAGTATTGCATGCTATGCCTTGGGTTCGGTTCTCGGTTTGCGTGCATGCGTGCACGTATCTCGAGTGTCTCATTTTCATCTAATGGCCTCTTTTGTGAGTGTGGCTGAGGTCCACTCATGTTGGTGTAAGTCCATTATGCATTGTGTATGCCATTTCATTTCATAGCATTGCGTATGCTAGGATGTATGTTAGCGCATTGTGTATGCCATGTTACCTCGCGCATCGTGTATGCCATCTCATAGCATTGTGCATGCTAGGTTGTATATTAGTTGCATTCATGCACGTCATGCATATTGCATTGTGCTTGGGATAAGAGTTAGCCCGAGCATGGGAAACGAGGGGCGTTTCGTACTTCGAGTGACGGAACGTGTCTCAATTCCCTGTCACCGACACTCTGGATTGCCCATGATGGAGTTAGGTCTTGTTGTGTTTTCATATGCATTCATTCTATATTGAGTTGCACAATTCGACTCCTCAGCCATCAGCATCAAGATGCGTGATTGGTGGCATGAGGATCGAGGCATGCATACATTTGTGAAAATACATTGCCATGCCCTTTTCCTGCTCTCTGTTGCAGCAAATCAAGAATCAGTAGCCTTTCAAAAGCCTTGCACAGCATTCCGGCATCAATCACAAACAGAGGCTAATTGGGGCATCGCAGTGGATTTCCGCGCAAAGCAACCCGAGCATTCACCATTCATCATCCGGAGCGGAGTCGAGGCAGTCCCTAGATTGCATGCTAGTTTACAGCTTTCTTAGTTTAATTTGTTAATTAATTAGGGTTTTGTAATTATTTGGACTGTAATAAAATCTAAAAAACATAATTTGTATATTAAAAAAATATCTAAAACAAAATATCTAATTACAT